CCGCGGTGCTGTTTGCGCAGGGCGTGCTGGGGCCGCCGTCGCCCATCCCCACGCAGTGCATCATCCTCAAGAACGTGTGGCGCGCGGAGCAGACGGGGGAGCCGGGCTGGGACGCAGAGATAGCGGAGGACATGGGCGAGGAGGCCAGCAAGTGCGGGCAGGTGCTGCACATGCACGTGGACGCAGCCAGCCAGGTGCGCGGCGGCGGTGGCGCTCTCAATTCGACGGGTGCGGTCGCGCGTGGAGGGGCGGCCCTGGTGACCGCCTTGATGTGACTGCAGCCTGGGGAGGCTGGTGACCCAGTGCCAGCGTGCCGCCCCGTCCCCGTTCCCGCCTGCTTTGCTTCGAGCTGGACGCCTGCAGCCATCCATACCTCACCACCTCACCCCTGACGCACACGCGCCCGCCCCGCACACGCACACATGTTGCAGGGGTTTGTGTACCTGAAGTTCTCGGCCCCCGAGGGCGCGCAGGCGGCTCACAAGCTGCTCAACGGCCGCTACTACCAGGGCAACCAAATCTTGGTCGAGTTCCAGTTCGTCGCGCCCTACAACGCACACTTTGGCCTCGCGTGAACCCGCGCCGGCCCCGCTGCGGGCCCGGCGGCGCGGCGCAAACCCGCAGCGTAGAGAGGCGCGCGCCCGCATGCGTTTGGGCGCCCTGGTTGTGCTCGGCCGCCGCCCCTGCAAGACGCGCCCCGATCCCTGCTGTGCGGCCGCGGCAGGCGACAAGAGCGACCCGCGGACGTGCGTGGCGCGTCCGGAGGCGGCCTGGCGGCGCGGAGGCTCGTCGTCAAGCGTTTGAGCCCTCTTGGAAGGCCTCAGGTCGGGGCTTGCGGCGGTCGCGTCCCCCACGGTGGCCCCTCATGCAGGTGTCGCCGCGGCGCCTCGGAGGCTTCGGATCCCGGCTGGCGGCACATCCACCCCCTTTGCTTTCCTCACAGGCCCTTTGCGCCGGCTTCGCTTCGCAGTGTGGCGCAAACAGGCTTTGTTTCAGGGCGGCGGGCGGTGAACCCCGCGTTGCGGTGTTTCGCTTTGTGGCCGGCGCCGCATGCCGCGCCGGTTGAGGGCTGAACAGCGCTTTGCGGCTCCCCCAGGCCAACACCCCCATTGCACGGCCAACCTTGCAGGCACCTTGCATCGGAGAGGCTCGCTCCCTATGCCGGGCATGGGCGCCGCGTGTTTTGTGTGAACCCTCCCCCCTGTTTGCAGGCCCCTCGTGCGCTCCGCTCGCGCCCGCCGACCGCGGATCTCCTCTCTTTTCCCCCTCACCGTGAGGCTGCCTAGGGTGTTGACTGTTTGCACCTTGCTTTTGCAGAGCGCGGGGCTCATCCTGCAACGGTGTCTCGTTTGCAACAAATTAGCATAGCAGCTTTCACCTTCCATGAACATCCGCCATCGAGACGGTGGCAATGAGCTGCACGCACGCTGCTCTCAACCGCACACCAAATGCAGGCAGGCCTATGCCCACAGCATGTCAGCAGTAGTATATGTTTGCAGGTCCTGCGACAGTTGCTCAAACCAGGGACTTTCCAGGCCAACCCTTTCCACGGTTTGTGCTCAATGCCAGAAGCTCCTGCATCAGCCCCTGATTGCAGCCCCCTCTTACTGATTGCAGCCCCCTGTGTAAATACCTACAAACCTGCAACTGGTTACCGCTGCCACCAACCTTACAAACCTCTACGAAATGAGGCGTTTTCTTGCACAACGGTGAGCCCCAATGTGCAAAGCCCCGATGTGCATCTATGCAACTGCATCCTAGGCCAGCACTTCAAAACTGGTAGCAGTTCACAAGATGGGGTCCACTTCAGCCGTCACTTTCTTGTCGAGGATTTGATTGACACAGTTGCTTGAGGAAAAGGTCAGGGCAAATGTGGAATTGGCGCAAGTCTCTGCAAATTGCACTCAACTGTGCGACTGCATCACGCAAGCAGCCTCGCTTGACCCTATCGCCTTGCATCCTTTATACAACGAACGCAAGCAGTACTCCAATCAAAGTCAAGCGTATCGTGCCGGCCAGCGCCCCCTTGGCAGTGGGCACCTGGCTTGGGCTGCTCATCGTGCGCGCGTGTGGCTGACCAGCTTACTGGGAAAGCTCAGGGGCATCACCAGAAAATACAACGACCCACACGCAACTGGGACACTTGAAGAAATTCCAGGAAGACCTAGGGAGTCAGGCCCAGGCGGCTGGGCCTAACGAGCACTGTAGGCCAGCCCTGGTCCAGATTTATCACTGGGCAATGTTGGACAGGGCGGAGAAAACAGGCATACGCAACTCTGCACTTGCTGGGTTTCGGCCCAATCGCTGCACGGTACGAAGTGCCAACTGAAGATCCTGAACCTGGCCATGCAGGATGTTAGGCTCGTCCACCATCGCAATTTCCTGCTACAAATTGAATTTGTAGCCAAGTCATCAGGACCTGTACTCGGAGGTCACCACAAGAGTTCAGACACCATTAGGCCCCACAACCCCAGTCCCAGTCATCACGGGAAGATTGCAGCTGGGCGGCTTTCCGCTAAGGTAGTTCAGGTGTATTTTCATTTCATGTCCCTTTTCTTGGTTCTGTTGTGCTTGGAGCCCCTCTGTTGTGGCTGCATCTACACGGCGGCAGAGGGTATCAACCCCACCTGACGCCTGTGCACAATACCGGCATTTCTGGAAGCTGCTGCCGAAACCGCGGGCCCCCTAGGGCGCGCTCGAACATCGCGCTGCTCGCAGTGGGTGAATGGTTGGCTGCATTTGCCCCTGTGCTAGGTGAATTTCTTGAAGGGCAACACAAGTAAAAGGAATTGTGACTGATCTAGAGTGACAGTCCTTGGAGACGCTCCAGGAGGTTGTGCTAGGTGCGCATTGCGCTAGATCTCGTCCATGTAATGGGGTGCAGGGTACGAATCGCCGCGCAATGAAACGATGCATCGTCGGCATATAGTCACGAGTCTCAGAGACCGATGCTGGGCGGCATGATTTGATAAGATGTTGAGTTAACCTGACTGATCGTGTGCAACGGTGCCTCACTGCTCGCCAGCCCGGTGGCAGCGTGGTGCGATGCCACCTGCCGCAGCGGCGCGGGTGCCACTTGGTGCGCCCGCGCTCGCCAGGCTGCCGGCCGATGCGGCGCCTGCCCCGGACGAGGTCCAGACCGAAGATGAGCTCGACTCTCCAGTGGAGCAGCGGGCGCGCACAGCCATGGCCCCCCATCTAGATCTGGAATGGGAGCAGGGCAGCACC